GAAACAATTCTTACATGATGATTATATCGAGCTTCCGGGTTTCGTGCTTTGTGGCAGGTTCCACTTGTCTTGTATGCAGATAGACTGCCTCACTAACGGACTGTCTAAAACTGACTCTGATTACCCGTTCGTACGACTCACTTTGACTAACTTTAATGTATATGCCAACAACTTACCTTTGGAGCCTCAAGTTTATCGTGTGGAGATGCGTCTGGCCAATGTTTGGCTCGAGGATCTGCTCTTTGGCTTTACTACCTCTTCTACTTCTTCCGATGTTCCTTCCAGATCGCATCGCCTTCTTATGTACTCCACCTCTTCTCTTGATCCCGTTACTGCAGAGCGTCTCAGCAAAAGTACTTGGTTTGGTACGCGTCATGGTGATGGAGTTAACTCGTGGCGGCGACAATCTGGTTTAGCTACACAAGCTATCCGAGAGCCTACCAATATTGAGCAGACTAATGACTCCCGGCAGCCTGATAGGCATTCAGGTTATATACGTCAAATTGACAGATCAAATTTGACGAGGCCTATAAATTCCGTTAAAACCGGTGGGCCATATCCTGGTGTTCATGGAATTTTTAGACTTCGAATACCGACAGATGTTCAATCTAATGTTCTACGGGTTGTAGCTTCGATGCCTGACTTGACATTTCCATCTATCGATAAAAATTTCCCGATTCCATCAGAGCTTTTAACGGAAGGTTTGCTCCTTATTATCTTGCTTACATTTCCTTGAATTATGCTATTTATATTATATGAAATCTACCAGGTGCACATTGGTGTGTTTATTTTTATCTATAATCTAGCAATTTGTATTTAGAAGTGGATTGACCTCTTTGTCGCAACTTGGTCTTGTTGTCAGGGAGACTTAGTAGAACGCACCCAGTCCTAAGTCATCTGCCATAATTTTCATGATTCCCAGCATCAGACAATGGACTTAGTACATTCTCAAACGTTTCGCCGGCATCTTAGTCGGCAGCATCAGTGAGTTTTGCCATTCGCCGCACGAAGCTACGAACTCGTCAAAGAGACAAATCAAGTCAATCCCTCGATAAACGTTCTGCCGAAAACGGTTATACAATCACTTCCCTTTCTGTCCTGGCCTATCTATCTACTCTTTACCCTCTTATTCTACTGCCGCCCTATCACAACTTACTTGTTTACATTACACACGTCAAAATGTGTGCCTTTTTGTGGCAAATCTAATGGGGCCTCTTCACACTTGCTATTCATCCAAGCAATGCACTGAATACAGCCGGACAAAGGAGACAATTGTAATTCAATCGACTACATCTACTAAAAGACGACGGCGAATTCCTCTTGACCAGCTGTCGATTGGCTTTACTGGAAGATTCATGCTGATCCCAACAACTATGAAACAAGAGATTCCTCGAAACCCAACTTTTCTTCATACATCTACTAAGTCGCCCTGACAACAAGACCAAGTTGCGACAACAAGGTCGATCCACTTGTATAAATCGAAAGAAGACTGAGACCATCCCAGAGGCCACAACATCTTGGTCTTTTATATCTTTAATTTATATTTAATCTTGTACTTACTATACCATTTTTGAAGCCTTTACGCTAAAGAAATGAGACTTAACATAGAGATTGCCTTCACCAAATATATATATATATATATGGTCAGCAAACCTTGCTGGCCAGGAACAGACGTTATTTTTTATGTTTTATTTACCTTGAGCTATCACTGGGGTTTTAGTGCATGCAGACACATGCTTCGCGGTTGACATGTGAATCGAATTAATTTAATCACTATATACCTCATCAAAGAGCTCAAATATAGAATATCTAATTAGCATTTGACTTTTATTGACTCGTTAGCTTGAATATGTTTGTAAGGATAATACCGTGCTCTAATGATGTTCACCATACAAAGGACGAAAGATTGACACGTTTTCCCGGAATCGAAAGTAA